TGAAAGCTGTTGGCTGACTACTGATAAGCCCTTTTGACTTCAGACGTATCCTATATGACATTAATCGCAAATACCAAATGACATGGTTGGATCAATCTGCTCTCTTCCACTCTTAATTAGCAGGAAGCCTAACCAAGCCATTCCTACACGGAAGCTGCAGCTCTGGCCTTGGGGACTTCCAATGCTGCCTTGGGGCAGAGGGGGAGCAATGGGGAAGAAAGAATAAAGTAATTTCCTTTCTATAACTGGAGGAGATCTCTATTTTGCAGATATTAGGAAATGCTCCAAAAGCCACATCTCCTTATTCAGAGGCCAGTTAGTTCTGAGGCATCCATGTGATGGTTTTGCATTCCTTCAATTCTCTCCATTCCCTGGGGTGGAGAGGGAAGGAGGAAATGAGAAGAATGCAGTAGGGCTGATGGGATTACATAGTCTACCAAAGGAGCTTGTGCATACTAAGGGCAAAAGGCTCATCAAGGAAGGTGTCTGTGTATATCTTTCAGGGAGGTGTTGCAGATAATGCAGGGTCTGGTAGCATTCCAGCTCTCTTCTTCCCACATTCTGCAGCCCTGAGAAGCCTGCCCTTTATCAGTCATTCTGGAAAAGGACTGAAAATTGTGTTAATTGATGATGGTGAGCATTCACCCTGGCTTCCCAGGACACAGCGGTCCTCTTTGCCCCCCTCTGACCTTCCCTACATAAAACCCTGTGAGGCAGGCACAAGATTCATGTGCACACTTCTGTCCTCTTTACAACCACTCCTTTGCCAAGGACTGTGTATTTGTTTTAGTTAAAGAAGCTTGTGACTGAAAACAGCTGCAGACTGAGTGGAAAAATAGCACCTAAAAATAGCCCCAGCCTGAGAGCACAATGTGCATTGATTTTACTATGAAGAGTACAAGAGCAGGGAGATGGTGACTAGGCTGGTATGTTCTAATACGCCTCACCCTGCCATATTTAGAGTGCATGTAGTAAGCCAGGCAGCCAAGTCGGTCCATGTAGGTATTTGACTGTTTTGGAAGGGTTCCCGGCAGAGCCACTCCAACTACAACAAATTAGTGTCATATTTTTATAAGCTGACAGTGAGGAAATCACCCCACAATATTACCATGTTCTGCAGAGAACAGAGAATATGTAACTGCTGAATAAGGAAGACAAATATCTCGCTGATTGTTGCCACTCAAGGCATTTTCCGAGAATAAATTATCAGGTAGATATTACAATTTCCTCCCATCTGTTGTCGGCTGAGACGTGACCTAAAGTTCAGTCCAGTTCTAGATGCAGGTCATGGACCCAAATGCATTAATTTCTCTTGCAGTTTGGCCAACTTCAGCAAGCCAATCCCATGCAGCAGTTCAGTAGAAATATCTGTTCAGATTCATTACCACAGACAGCACGGGTGCTGATAGAAAGCACAGCTCCACCAGAGACATCTTTTTTATGTTATGACCATCATGAATATGTTTTTTTTATGACCATTATGAATATGTTTTTTAAAAGGCTAACTCAAGTAATGAAACAAACCGTTGTTTTAAAGCTGGAAATGATATTGGTTCCTGCACTTGTGCTTGATAGGGGCTATAGTTCTGCCTTCAACCCTCTTTTCTCCTTACCCTTTGAAATGTTACTGGCTTATTAACTGAACAGTGTAAACCCATGCTGAGAGGTTGAAAAGTGCCCTGTCAGTTTTCAAATTGTTTCTGTGTCAACTACAGGTCTAATAGCACCCTAACTACTAATAGAGGGATCTGCTCCCTGGAGAGTGTGTCAAGAGGACACCAGGCTCAAAGGATGGGTGTGGGTGAAGAAGTTAAATTCTGAAAACCTTAGCACTGTTAGACCCCTTTAAAATCATGTACTTGTTACATATTTGTCTGCAAACTATGGTCAGATTCTCATATCCTTTTAAACAACTGACTAAACTGCACTTCATAGGACTTACTCATATTTAAAAAAATTTATTTATTTAGAAGACAAAACTCATTTGGTCTTCATGCAAACAGGAAGCTGAGAGAAGCTCACAGCTCTTCATCTGTGACTGGCAATCTCCCTCACCAAAGGGACATTCAGGGTGGTGCTTTAGGAGAAGAACCCCAAACTTCTCTCTGCATCTGTCAGAAAGGAGACCTGGCTGAGGTTATGAACATCCAGGCTTGTTTCTGACATGCTCACAAGTAGACTGGAGCAATTTCCATGAAGTGTTGCCTTCAGAGGAACCAGTGAGGAAGCATTGCTACCCTTTGAGGTGAATTAATGCCAGTGGTGATCTTGTTTGAGGGCAGCAGTGGCAGGTTGATCTTTTCCAAAGTCGATGTCCTGGTTTGGGCTGAGGGCATTTCCTTCACAGTGGCTGGTATGGGGCAACAATTTGTATTTGTGCTGATCTCTGGGTTTATAATATAGAGATGGTTTTGTTATGGCTGAGCAGGTCTTACACAGAGTCAAGGGCTTTTCTGCTTTTTGTACTGCCACTTGGCAAAGGGCTGGAGATGAATGGGAGGCTGGGATGAGATACAGCCAGGACAGGTGATCTCAACTGACCAAAGGGATATTCCAGGCCATGTAGCATCATGCTCAGGATATAAAGTGGGGGGAAGAAGTGGGATATTTGGAGTGATGTCATTTGTCTTCCTAAGTCACTATTACATGTGATGAGACCCTGCTCTCCTGGGGATGGCTGAACACCTGCCTGCCCATGGGAAGTGGTGAATGGATTCCCTTTGCTTTTGTGTGCAGCTTTTGCTTTCCCTGTTAAACTGTTTATCTAACTTAAGCTGTGCACAGGGGAAATTTAGGTTGGATATTAGGAAAAAGTTTTTTACAGAAAGGGTGGTAAAGTAGTGCAGTGGTCTGCCCTGGGAAGTGGTGGAGTCACCATCCCTGGATGTGTTTAAAAAAACCTGGATGTGGCACTCAATGCCATGGTTCAGTTGAGGTGTTAGGGCATGGGTTGGACTCAATGATCTTGAAGGTCTCTTCCAACCTGGTGATCCTGTGTGATCTCAACCCACAGGTTTTCTAGCTTTTGCCCTTCCAGTTCTCTCCCTGATCCTACTGATAGTGGAGTGAGGGAGCAGCTGAATGGGGCTTGGTGAATGGCTGGGGTTAAACCATGGCAGAAAGATGTGCCCTGGTTTCAACCTGGTGTTGCCTGAACAAACACCCATAGTTCAACCTTGATTTCACTGCAGTTTTTTGAGGGAGGGTGACATCTGAGACCCACACTTGGGAGAGATGCTATATATGGAGTTTTGTGTCACTCAGACCTTTTGCAAATACTAACATGGTACACTGGTGTGCCAGTGTACAAATCAAGGCCTCACTTCCATACTGCACACTTAGCATCCTCACAACCTGACATATAAATGTGAATGGAAGTTGTTATCCAAAACACAGTCCATTTACCTGGAAAGAAACATTTTATGTATTTCTGTAAACATTCACAGGCTGTCCACTTTACTGGCACTAGTATTTTCATTTTTCTAAGTGAAGAATTCTTGCACATGACATGGCTCAGGGATCTGAGACAAAGTGACCTGACCTGGCTGACTAATTATAGAGTGAAGGAAATTAATTTCTGTTTAGGATATCTGTAATTAATCCATATAGTAATAAATGAATTAGTTGGTGTTGGAAAGGTATAAATAATTAATAATTGAGAAATAGGTGCAATCTGGTCATAGATTTCCCAGAAGGAGAAGGAAGATAAAGTGCTTGATGTAAATTATTTGCTCAGCTTTACCATTTTGATAAAACGGGTTTTTTTTACTAAGAGCAAAACCAAGTGAAACAGAAATGTCTGCATGGTTAATGAGTCAGACATAAATGCTACAGTACTTATTGGAATAGCTGATTGTGAAAGATACACCAAAAACGGCAAAATGTGTGCACACAGCAGATAAAATGGAACCATGTGACAACATTTGTGATGTAGGAGAGACAGCTTTAAGCAAAATTGCTAAAAGTAAGTTAAAACTCATGCAATTCTACAGATAATTCAAGACCTAAGGCTAAAACAAAACAAATCTAAGAGTATTATATGTAGCCAGAAAGTTTTTCTGCATATGATTTGCATGTATGCACATGCCCAGAGTTTCCTACAAGGCTTGTAGATTGCTTGAATTTAGGGACTATCACTACAAACTGTTTTCTGTGAAAATGTCATGAAGCCATTGGGTTCCTGTGGTCCTTGATAATGAAAGTAAGGGGTGGCTTGGGTTTTTATGACAGGACCAAGTCCCTGTAAAAAGGGTAATGAATGTTAGAAAAATTTGGATCTCAGTGAAACCCAAAGGCATCTAAGTTTCACAGAATTCTAGACTTTTTCTGTTGAGTACATCATATGAACATCCCCAGGGACATAGCTTCAAAGCTAAGTACCAGGGAGAAAGGTGTCTCCAAGGGTAGAGACTCATGAAGCAAAGGAGAAATTGTTGTCTGAGCAAGGAAGTAGGAAGACACAAAGATAAAGGGTAACAATAGTGGCAGGTCAGAAAAAGCTTCATCATAACAGCTGAATTCAGTGCCCAAGGAAATAAACAGAAACTTCAAATCATTAATGTCCTGATTTTAGGCCAATAATGAATTTTTCAATATGAGAACAAATATATTTCCATGTGTTTTCCTGCAATACAGTATCAAGTGTTACTTCCACAATGCACTAGACAGCACGATAACCTGAATATTGAGTATCAAAGTTAGTCAAATACAGCATGAAATTCCCCTGCTCTGAACTGTATTTAGAATGCAACAGTTTGCCCCTTGGGAAAGTTACTGAGTCTATGGGAAGTAGATAATTGCTCCAAGTCCATGGTTTTCTGTCTTGTTTGTCCCAGGTTGTAGAACAAGCATGGGCTAGTCTAGAGGGTGCACCCTTGCCACAAATACAGGACAGTCTTTAAAAATGCAGAAGGACTTGGGTGATGGCACTGGAATGCCAAAAAACAGCCCTTGATAGCAGCTACAAAGTCAGTTTCCTCCAATTCTTTTCCACAAACTAGGGGCTCCAGAAGAAGAGATGGCCTGTGTGCAGAGTTCCTCACCAAAGCACCCTGAAAACCAACAGGTCCCCTCGATACCTCCAGGCTCTCCTGATCATGGATCATGGTCATGCCCTGAACTCAGACAGTGGACTGTGGCAGAGCTGTGAGAAACCAGCCCTTGGCTAAGGTCGCTGTCCCTGTGTTCCATCTGGTGTGCAGGTGGAAAAAACATCAATTTCAACATCTGATGAAGAGTCCTGTAAACTGAACACCAGCTTGGTCAGCCTGGTTTGATTAAGTAGGAGACAGTAAATTTCTGATGAAGTACTATGTTAATATTTATTTCTCTGACTTACCAAGGCTCAAATTTACTCCTGAAAATTTATATTTAAAAAAAATGTAATTTAAAAAATTAATTTAGATTAATTAAATTAGATTTAGCTTTAGCTTTATATTTAGATTTAGATTTAGCTTAATATCAAACAGAGGTTTGTCTTCTCAGATAACTGAGTGAAATATTGGAGTCTAATACATGCCTCAAAAAACTTTCATGAAGGTAAAAATAATAAATATTTTTTCCCCATAGTTCGTCTACAGAGTGCTTTTAGGTAAACACTGACATACACCTTTTATTTGATATAACTAAATAAATAGTACTAATAAATAAATATAACTGATATATATTTATATCTATTAGTTATGTTCTTCTTAATTCTTCGTCAGTTCCATTTCTATTGACCTTTCATTGAGTGCAGTCCTATAGAATTTTTTCAGAATGGATACCTATTTTTTTTAATGTGACCCCATTGCTTCATTATACCACAATATATCTGTAGATTACCTTTATGCTTTTTTTAGAATTTGCACTTTTTATAATCTCTCCACCAGTAACTTTCAATAGTGCTTGCTGTAAATTTCAAGACTTTTATTTTGTGCCAAATTTTGTGCCATTATTTTAGTGATTTCTTAATCATTTTCTTCGAGTTTCAGTAATCAGTCTATTACTATAGTACATTGCCTTCCCTGAGAATGACAAATTCAGTCTTTGTGGTGTCCCCAAAAGTAACTCTTTCTTCCTTCCTTCCTTGTAACCCTATAGTAGCCCTGGACTGGCTTTTTCCAGGTAAAGAATGCTGCTGTCTTCCTGAGCCCACTCAGGGTATTTCAGAATTCCTTATCCTTTAGGTGCCACACAGGTCACTGAAATTCTCTGTTGTTCCAACCCAGAACCAGTGAGATGTTGGTAGATTTTGAGAGCAGAAAGCTCTTCAGTTCAAAGTTTTTATTTCAGCTCTGTTAATGTCAAGTCTTCTCAGCGTAACTCCTCTTTTCTTTCACGTTTTCTCAATTTGCCTGCTGGCAGTTTGATTCTATTTGGAATATAGAAATCTTCTAAGCTGGTCAACATCCGCTCAGTTATTGCTGAGCAACATTATACTGATGATACATTTTTGTTCTTACCTGCAAAGAAATAGGGAATTAAATATTATTTTTATAAATATCTAGTCTCTCAGGTGATCTGCCTGATATTTTCTTGTCTTAATTTGCAGAATTAAATGCAAGGGACTTGTAAGGGGGTAAAAAGTAAAGCACACCTGAAAATGAAACAAGGGACTTCTCTAGCTATAACAAGCAGGTGAGGATTTTAGAGCTGGTTTAAACTAATCCAAAGACCTGAAAAAGAGTCTTCCCACGATTCCTTGATCCTGGCCATGTGTTCTTGCCCTTTCCTTTGGCTTTGTGCAGATGATCACAGAGGTGGATGGTGTGTAATATTAGCTTTCCACTAAGAAGAGCTAGCACAACTAGCCTGAACTACTCATTCACATTTTGCAGAATAGGTAAGGTTAAATGGGTCCCAGTTAGTTGTCTTGTGCTTTTCTGAACTTGTTTTCATAACAGACATATGCAAAAAGTGTCAGCATTTCCCAGATGGGTGAAAGGATTAATATTTGTAAAGTCATCTATATTTCAGATTTGTTTGGAATTAAACATGCTGTAACAATAAAGTTATTGTTGGTCTTCCTCTGAGCACTCCCATTTTACTTCACAGCTTAATAGCCACCAGAAAAGACATCTGAAAACTTATTGTATTATTATTTATGATACATACAAAACAAATAGAGAAGAAATGTCACAAAATAATTTAAACATACTCAGCTTTAGCACAGAAAGCAAGATCAAACTAATTAAATCCGTATTATCACTTTCTGTACAAACCACACACTGTTTTAATGTGTTGTAAATTCAACTCCCATTAAATGAAGACCTGATTGTGCATACATATATATGTATGAGAGGGGGGCTGGAGAGAGAGAAGATGCAAAGAGTCCTTCCTTCTGGGATTTGTTGGAAGCCCCTCATGGCTCCAAAGCATTGGGGCAGGGAGTTGCCTGCCTTTGTGCAGTGTCCAAGTACAAAAATGAAAGAGTAGTAGCACTGCTATCCCTGTTGTTTCCTAAAAGAGGTCTGGTGAGATGCAGTAGGTGAGAGTTAATTACTGATTTGGCACAAAGCATTCTTCTATGTTCTGCTCTGAATCTCCAAGAGACATATTGGCTCAGCTGATCAGATTCCTTTAATAACAAAGCTTCCAGGTCTACTCGTGCTGATCCTTCTCTGCTTCATAGCCAATGATGGTCATGGCTTGGGGCCACAGTCTAACACTGTGACTCCAGAAAGAATGTTTGTTTTTTTTTAATGTCAATCCAATGTTATTTTAAAAGAGAGACAAAGAACTAATGCATTTCCTGGGGTTCCCAACTTTCCTGGATACTGTTCAAGCTGTTTCAGAACTCAAGTGCTTCCTAAAAGCTGTCAGTGAGGTTGTGGCAACACTGCGGTGTCTCAGATGCAGCAGCTATGGAGTTATTTGACAGAAATGTGCTGAAAAATGCCAGCTCACTAAAGTTAAAACATTGCCTTGTAAAGACTTCCATTAGTATTTGCCATGGTGACAGCCAGGTAGCACTCTTGACCATTTCCTCAAGAATTTGCCCAGCTGCTGGGGTTACTGAAAGCTGCTGTGCCCACAGGAATGGAGCAGATCTGCCAGACTAATCTTACTTGCATTTAGTTGGGTGTCTGGGCAACTTGAGTTGGAAAGAGCACAACAGATACAGAGGTGGCTGAAAAAGAGCTAAGGGAATACCTTAAAACACTGGTAATTTTTCCAAAAGCATCCTGAGATGTCATCCATAGATAATTTGGAAACAAAGTTGACAATCATATTATGTATTTGCTATAAGCAGCTTACTCATTTATAGACATACTTCCTTTCCCCCAACTATACAATAATACTGGCAGTGCAGAAAAACACTCATTCATATTAGCTGTATGCTTAATGTATTTCTGCAGTCCTGGGCAGACAACTCTTCAAGGCTAAAAATTCAGTTCTTCATTATTAAAAAATACCAGTCCTTGCTATAGGAGTTGATGACTCAGTGAGAATTATAATTATAATCAAAGCATAATAGGCATTTTGAGCCCCTTATAATTGCTGCCAAGAAACTATTTATTCAGCTAAAGAATTAAATCTTTGTTTGTAAGCTCTTTCTTGTTCACAATAGAAATAAAAGTGTGTGACTTGGCTCATGAGCAGATACCAGTCTGGCTATTTTACTCAGAGTGAAAAATAGGCCTTCATGCAGAAAGACTTGGGATACTTAAAACAATTATTTATACATATTTGCCTCTATAAAATCCAGTGTTTAGCTCCAATGATGCTTCTGATTGCTCTTCTCCTTTACTGCATGTTGAAGACTCTGTGATGTGCTGTATGTTCAGTATTGCATGCATTTCTGGTACAACTCCCAAAGCTAGAAAATTATTTAGGAAAAATTAAATGCTGGATGCCAAGAAATGAATAAATGGTACAGATGAACTTGGTAATTTTTCTTGGTCCCTTACTTACCTGTTGTGATAAAAATAAGGCTCCCTGAAAGTAGCTGATGATCTTTCTCTGAGAGAAAGGGGAGTGAAAATGACACACTGAATTCTTCTACTTACAAGCCAATACCATAAGAAAAAAGACATTTCAGGCAGCCACAATCAATTTACATCAGCAGAAGAAATATTCTGACTTGCTACAGAGTCAGCTGATGTTCTTACTTTCTGTCTTCTCTAAACATGTGAGTAAATTCAGCATGCAAAGTCTTTTAGTTTTAAGAAAGCTGGGTGGCTTCTTGTAGAGTCTATTGTCTGGAAAAGGCAAATTCTTAAAAATAATATCACAAAATAAGTTCTCTTCAACCTGAATAAGGATTATGAAGTCAGGTGTGTTGTCAGGTGGTATCATGGGACCCATAGCTCCATGAAAGGAAAAACATCAATGAAGGTAACAACATGCATGATGACCACACCAAGACAAGGCAGTGGAACATCTCAGCAGCTGACCCTTTCCACAATGTCTGCTATACTTATCCAGTTAGGTGAGAGATCCTGGTTTAACTTGGGTGGTGTTTAGAGTGATTCAGCCTTAGAATTTGTTCTTCTTATTGAGGTAGGAGGCCATGGCTTAGAGGATTCCACATAGGATCGCATCTTTCTCTGATACTTGTATTCAATCGGGGAAAGGAGTGCAACGAGTGCACATCACAGTATAGGCACAAACATAACTCAATTTGACTCTATCTACACAGTTATGCCTAACAGGGAAAGCTTTTATGTTAGGGATCCAAACTTAAAGAGCTTTGGCCAGCTGCTAAAAGAAAACAGTAGTTTGCCCAGGCACTTGTCCTAAATCAAATGCCTTTGTTGTGTCTTGTATCATATGTATTTTGTACAGACCTAACTTATTTTAAGGTAATTTATTTTAAAAGAACCATGCCAGCCAACTGTTTCCATGAGTGAATGAGCATGTGCATTGTATATCCGTGTAAGAAGAAGTGGTGGGGAAAAAATGCTGATTTAAAGTTATTTCTTATCCCAGTAAAATGAGGGATGCTATAAGGACAGCTTTTTATTTCAAGCTGTCCTGCTGTTTGGGTCAGAGTCTGTGTCAAGTCAGTAAGAATTCTTCCTTTAGCTTGAAGAAGATCAAGATTGGAGCAGCCACAGTAGTCTTAATAAATGTAAATCTTATTAGAAATACCCTCTTTTATAGCAAGTGCCAAGCTGTGCAAAGCTCCAGGCTACATTACCTTATAACATTGACTGAAATGGCAGAAGAATTTACCATCCCCGCTAATGAATTTTTTTAATTACTCTTTGCAAACAGGGTGATGCCGAGCCTCTAGTGAGAAGAAAATTAATCCTTGAATTGAAATACACTAGTAAGGTTTAAATCATATTTTTAAAAGTATTTTCTGGTCAGCAGTGTTACTTCTTAAATCAGTCTAGGAAATGCCAGATCTTTTTTTATCTTATTTTT